CCTGTTTCTAATTTCTTTTCTCTTTCTAAGCCTTTAAGACTTTACTAGAGCCTCTAGCTTTGATTATACTTGAGCCCCTGAAAACTTTTACTTTCCAGTTTAATCCCTGAAACTGCTTTGATTTCCTTTTTCATCTTTAGGACTTTTTCTCAAAAAGGACTTAGTAGCCTACCTTCTTTAAGCTACTTCTAGGGCTCTTAGATTTAAAAATTAAGATGTGACAGTTCCATACTTTAATTTTTTTATTAGGAAAAAATATTCATTTTTCTAAAAACACAGTTTATCTTATATTTGATAAATATGCATACACATGTTAACAATTAATTAATGATATTTTTATATATTATTTATTATGTTGGCAAAAAAATTATTAACAAATTTATTATTTTGATTTTTAATATAAAACCTAATTGGGGAGCTAATGTTGGTCTTAAATATAAGACCCATTTTATATGATTATTAATTTTTTTAAAATTAACTTTATTAATATTTCTCAACAATAATCAAGTAGAAGATGGAGTAATGGAATCAAAAATGATGCTTATGATGTTTTAAAAAAATAGATCATACTAACTAATTCAATTAATATTCTTAATCTATTCAAATTAATTAATTAGATCTTTGTCATTATCATATTAAATTATGTTTTTTGGTGATCATTTTTCAAAAACATATTTAATTTTATATTTTATAAATATATACACACATATTAATTATTTATTAATTATATTTTTTTATATATTATTTATCATGTTGACAAGAAATATATTATTAACAAATTTATTACTTCAAATTAAAATATATTATAAAATATTTTTTTATTTAATTATCATATTAACTTATGTCTTTTTTAGTAATTTGTACATATAAAAAGTGTTTCTAATAACAACTTTCCAAACACTCTCACTTTATCATAATCTCTTTTTCACAAAATCTATTATAAAAAATAACTTTTTTTTCAGAAGTTATTCTTTAAACTATGGTTTGGTTTTATCCAAACTCCCCCTTAATTGAAGTTGTTGATGCAGAAACTTTCAAGTTCAATACAACTTAAACCTGAAGCTGGCTAACAAGTGTACTTGAAATTCGGTGAGAAATCCTCAACTATTATTTGTAAATAATAATCAGAATTCATATTAATTTAATTTTGACCACTTAAAATTAAAGATTTTAATTTTAACATACGTTGTTAATTTTCACGATCAAAATATTATTTTTAACTTAATATTAATTTTCTTTATTTTGAAATATAAGTTATTCAAAATAAATCTAAATAAATTAAACAATTTCTTAGCAATCAATGTCGTAGGATTAAGGGGCACTTCTAGCTAGTCTTAGAAGGTGACATGCTAGAGATATCATAAGACGACAACTAACAAGTCTAACTAGTGACATGAATACTCTTCTATAAACAAAAGTTTATGAGTTCAATTCTGAATCTAATATTAGATTATCAATGCCCGTCTCTCTAATTCTAAGAAAAGCAGAAAGAGTTGGAAATCACTTCTTTTCGTTCAATAAATCCACTTAATGGAAAAGAATGCTGTAGTTTGTGACTTCCTGAATTAAATTTGATGATTTATATTTAATAGTTTTTAAAAGTATTAATACATATATGCTCAATGAAATAGCTCAAAACCATATATGATAGTTCAATCTTTATGCTATTTGTGTTGTTTGTACGTAAGTTCACAGCAATAATGACGAAGAAGGATGGGAGCGAGGCGTGGTTATTTTCTGACTTCATTGCCATTTGTGAAGGCTCTTGGACTGCATCTTTCATACCTGCATCCTTAAATCTGTGTAACTCGTTGAATTTGGGTTATGAACTTACTATGACTTGGGCTTTTTGGGTTATTCAGTGATTTGTTATAATGACATTGTTAAGGTATTAGTGCATACTATGAAAAAAAACAAACTTTATCAGTGATGACAATTTATCTTTAAATCTTGTCGCTAATTTTTTTTTTTAAAGTAGTATGAGCTGTCGTGTACTGTTTTATCTAGTTGAAATAAAATTGTCAATTAAAAAAACTATAATAGAGTTACGGGGAAAAAACCATCATCATTCAGTTTCTAATCCAAAAACCTCATCCTAGAAGCATTATGACACAGGTCGAGTTTCAAAAACAATCTTGCCCAGCCACATTTATTTTGCTCAATGCTTTAAAAGTCGGATCAAACATCCGATGAAAAAGGCAATTCACAATTCCCATCGTTCAAGTGACTAATGACGGAGTCAGTGACAAAATAATTGAATAAAAATTTAATTAAAATAATTAGATGCATATATAATAATATAAAATAAATCCTCAAAATAAGTCAACTTGTTAACATAATAATATAGTAATATATGAATTTTTTGATAAAATAATACTATATCCTATAAATGATCTGAAAATATATTGAGCTTTTACTGAGAGATTAATTTTTTTTAATATTTTTTAGAAGGTTGGTATTTTCCGTGAGACTAAAAATTTATCAAGTTTTCTATTGGTTCCTAATCTAATTTTGGGGTTTCTATTTACTCAGAACAATTATGTTATTATTAAAAAAAATTCTATTCAAGACTCTATCAATATTAATTTTGATTTTCGGCTTTCCAACCCACTTATTTAATCTATATATTTCTTCGAGCACACAAACACAAAAAATACATTAATATAAACAAACTGCACCATTCATCGTTTATGGGAAGTGTCCAAAATGGACGAGCCTCCCATTTAAATACTCATGACATGCCAAAAATATGGGATAAGATGCTTAAATATTTCAAAATTATATGTTTTAAGAGTTCATTTTTGTAGCAAAAATATTTTAAGAGTTTTTTCTACTCTTATATGTCCTAAAAGTTTATTTTTATGACAAAATATCCTAGTTATTATCTGCCGTTAAGTTTGACCATTAAATTATACAATTTGATTGGTGTTTTTAACCGTTAAACTTAACGCCGGATAACGATTTGGGACATAAATGCTATAAAATAAAATTTTTAGGACATATAAGAGCTAAATAAAATTTTAAATCCTAAGTACTTCTTTATGCATATTTTTTAAAATTTGTAAGTACCTTATTAGTATTTTGAAGAGAGACGCGGAGACTTGACTTGCGAAGATTGGGATTTCACATAATGGCCAGGGGCTTTGTTGGGATAGCAAATTTGTCGGTAGCGGGCGTGTACGATAGAATATTGGCATTGGGATATTAACAAGTCAACAACGTTATGTGCCCATTTTATAATTATTTATTTACATGTTTAGGCCCAGTATTCTTATATTATTATATTTATTCGTCTCAATGTCAATGTCCCCTTCTCTCCGCGAGCCAACTAGTCTCCCTTGTGATCTTCCATCCTCTTTCTCATCTAACCAACATTTTTCTCACGCGTGACTTTCTGTCAGAGTATTTACATTGATAAAGTAAACAAAAATTTTATATAGTATTTGCATTGATAGTTACAAATTTTTTTCTAAAAATTTTTACTCAAAAGCATTAGGCATTCGAAATTTTTTTGAGTATAAATTTATCTTAAAAATTTAAAATTATAACAATATTACCCTTATGGTTAAAAAACTAAGATTCATAGTTAAAATAATAACGTTAACTGTTAACGCTTTTGATAATAGGTGGACAGTATTACTACATTGCTATGGCTTTAAATTTTGAGACAAATTTACGCACAAAAACTTTTAGGCCCTTAATGCTTTTGAGTAAGAACTTTTGGTATAAATTTTGCACATTAACTCTTAATAAAATAAACAAAATTGTTATATAAGTTACATTTAGTAACCAACATAAAAAATCTACTTTATTATAAAAATGTCTCTGTATTTTTTTTCCTACGTCGGTATTTTAATTACTAACGGAGAATAACTGAATTTTAGTGGTGCTTGTAAACAAGCTGGGCAGGATTCATAACTTTTATAAAGAGTAAAATTTAGTTTAATAATTTTATTCAAGATCAAAATACATTTAATTTTTTCTTGTAATATTAAAAATAAAAATTGTCACTTAATTAAATATTCGCTACAGAAGAAAAAATTCGCCTTTGATCCTCAACATTTCATTTCAGCAAAAGTTAAAGGTGCTGCTAATTAATTAATGAAAAGTTTTAGCAGTCCATGTGAACATTTAAAAAAAACAAATAATTTGAAAAAAGACTGCCTCTTGTGATCAAGGGAACATAAGTAAAAACTAACGGTTCAAAACTTCTTTAATTATTTAAAAATAAAAGTGCATAGTTTCTCGTTCAATTTTATACAAACTTTAGTATTTTTCATAATTTTATAAAATATCTTTTTACTTATCAACCTTTAACACTGTAAGTGATAAGTGATTTTTTACCAATTATTGTTATTTTAAAAAATTCAATCTAATATGTCAACATTTAATCATGGTTTTTAATATTTAAAATATTAATATTTTATTTTTTTATTAATAAAATTAACCCCATTAGGGTCAGCAAGGATAACAAATATTTTATATAAAATTAAAGAACCATAAAAAAAATTATTTTCAGTTAAAGAATAAAAAACACACTTTTACCTTATACATATAATATAAATTCATGTAAATAATATTGAATAATTTATTTTATTTAATATGAAACACAAAATTTACTTGTAATAATTATAATTGATTGGCACTTTAAAATATCCAATGTAAAATAAAAATTATATATTATTTGTTCAATAATATTATTCCTAAATTATATACTCGTATATATTTAAACCTAACAAAATAAATTGTTATTCCTGTGCACGCACCAAAAACCTTTTTTTCTTTCGAGTGTGGAAGAGAGAATGGGAAATGGGGAGGAAAACAAAGAACACACATTTCATTGGGACCCACGTGACCCCGCGCGTTGTCCTTATGCAAAAGCCGTGTATCGTAGAGAATTCCATAAGCATTTAGCCATGCCTATAGCTGGCTCGCTATATAAAGCGTGAAGGAATGCCTCGTTCAGCTCTCGCCTTAAAAGAAAGAACCATCTCTGTTCCACTACTGTTAGATTAATACTTTCTCTCGCTCTTCTCTCTCTCTTTCTCCCCTCTCCTCTCTTGGCTTCATCACAGACAGATATAATCACCAGAAGAAGGAGCGACGATTATTCTGAAGACTACTGTTAGATTAATATCCGACCGATCTCTCAGGTTCATGACAGGGAGATACTGAATAATCAATCGAGAGCAGAAAAGAAGAAGAAGAGCGGTAAGATTAATTGTTCCCTTACTGTTAGATTAAATACTCTCTCACTCTCTCTCTTCTTCTCTCTTAGCTTCATCGGAAATGAAGAATAATAGAGCTGCGTGGAAACAACTGTTAGATTAAAAAATTTGATTGGTTTCTGATCTTGATGACAGGGAGATACTGAATTAAGGAAGAGGATCGAAGAGGAAGCATGCATACGAGGAACCATTGGGGAGGATCGTTCGAGATAAGTAACGACATTAATGGAGGAGGAGGATCTGGAGGATTGTACAATTCGGGACCGTCGGATCAGTATGAGACGACGATGGAGTGGGAGGACAAAGGAGCGGCGTCGAGGCGGCACCATCTGCAGAATCATCAAGATCTGGATGAGATGCAGCAGAGCTGGCTGTTAGGGCCGGAGGATCCGAAGAAGAAGAAGAAGGAGTACGTGGATTTAGGATGCATCGTGTGTAAGAGGAAGCTTTTGAAATGGAGTATCGCTTCGATTCTGATCGCCTTCGTCGTCATCGGTCTTCCTGTCATCATCGCTGAGTCGTTGCCCAAGCACAAGGCCAAACCCGTACCGCCTGATAATTACACCCTTGCCCTCCACAAGGCGCTTCTCTTCTTCAACGCTCAAAAATGTACGTCTCTCTCTCTCTCTCGTCTCTCACCATTACCCCATTTCCGATTTAATTTATTATTAGTGCGCAGATTTTGAGCTTTAATTTAATAGTAATTTTCTCGGAAAAAATATCTTTAATAACATTTTTTAATTAAAGAAGAGTGTCGTAAATATTACAGTAATTTATTATGCATTACATATTAGATTGTTCAAATTTAATTCATAATAATTAATAAAAACTCAATTTCGTCATAATAATAATAACAATAATAATAATTTATATAAATTTTTAAAAAGGAAAAATATATACTTAATTTTGCGGAGGATATTTTAATAAAAAATATATTAAAACCAATATTTATGTCAATTTTCTTATTTGAACGGAGATCATTTTTCTGTATTTTAAAGTAATATTTATATAATTTTAAAAGTCTTAATATGTGTGTGTGTGTCGAAGTTTTGTCTTTATACGTATATGATGCGTTATATTTTCACCTAAACATGATGCATGAGCTCAATAGCTCATGTTAGATATGTTTTCTGATGATCATAATATTATGGCTAAAGTAAGTGATATAAAGACTGTTTATTTTTCTGTGTCACATAGAAGTACGCCTTGATATTGCAAAATTTATCAATTATACGACAAACTAGTTGAAATTATTGGCAGCAATTTAGAACTTTTTAATAGACACACTCAATTTATAAATGGTAAAAACTCTTGTGTTGACGATAAGACTTAATTAGTCTCAGTCATCAGAATTTAAGTAAAAGATTAGGTGTCGTGCAGTATTATTAAGTCTTGTATTTCATGTATACAGCTGTATTTTGCACACTATTTGACTTGAGCTTTTAACGCGGTGTCATGCATAAATTGCTGTGTCCAAGTAAGATCTGGCCAGCCAAAGTAGCATATCAATTATACTAAATTATGTGAAAGTTTTCCCAACTTATAACTATATACAAATAACTTAATTTTTTAAACTTATCAATAAAACCTCATCAACTTTTAAGTCTACAGATAGCCCTAAATTATTAATTTTATATCCCCTTGAACTTTATTTTATGTATATAAACCCTTTTTTTTTTGGGCGATATATGCAAATAAACCCCACAAACTTTAAATCATTTATAAATAAATAATGGACAAAATTAATAGTGTGATAGTTATTTGGGTAAATGTAAAAGTTCAAGAAGGTTTATTATAAAGTTCCATAGGTTAGAGGAGTTATTTACACAAATGACATAAAGTTTAGGGAGTTTTGTAGAATTTACTAATTTAGTGTATAAATTTTGTTATATACATACATACACGCACTGATGATGGCTATATATATATATATATATATATTGATTCTCATTAGAAATGTGACAAGAAAATATTTTCAACATTTGCGTAAGAATTATGAATTCTTTTTCATTTTGAAAATATATACATATAAATTTTCTACAAAACGAAAAAAATTATTCAGTACTTTAGTAATTCATTCATCATCATATCATTGATGAACCAAAATGCGTATTTAAAAAAGGATTTTTAATATAATTTTTGAATAAAAATTTATATAATTTCAACATAATTTTAAAAAAATTATTGAAACAAACAATTAAATGCATACACGCACATCGTCGTCATGCTGTTATACATTAAACTCTTGATGGGATCCAGGAATTAAAAAAAAGGGTTTCTGTTGGAATGGATACTGAAATTATTATTATTATTATTTTTTAAATTTTCCATTCAGTTCGAAGAAAGAGATTTAGCTACCATCCATTGACTTGTTCTAAAAGCTTAATTTTCTTAATTATAGGGCTAAAAGTAGAAAAATTGTATTATGTTTCAAAGAAAGTATATTTAATTGTTCCTTGTCATTATCAAAACCTGCTGCCGATTAATTGCGTTAGAATTTATTTCAAAAGTCCACCAATGGTTGTTACAATTAATTTGACATAGTCAAAATACACATGAAAATGAATGATATAATGGCTTTTCGCGTGATGATGCTTTTGCTTTTTATATATAATTTTATGCAGCAGCTGGCTCCACGCACACAGCTAAACGATCTTGACTTAAAATTTGAAATTGATTGGTTGTATTACATGAAAACTCTGTGTGTGTGTGTGTGTGTGTGTTGTCAATGTAAATATAAATCAATGCCATAAGCATAATGTTTAAGCCTATACATCCGACCTGAAATTATAAATTAATACGTAAGTATTATTACCTTTTCAATTTTGTTTGTCTTTAGTGAGAAAAATAATTTCATAAAAATTTTAACAACAAAAAGATTAAACATTTTTAAAACAAATTTATATATGAATTTTCGTGGAGAAAATAATATGATTTTATTTTTTTCTTGACAACCCATATATATATGAATATTCACCTTAGCTTCGTATGAATTCAATTTAGATACAAACTCTTGTTGCGATTATTTTTCATTATTTGCCAACAATTTTTTTTTTTTTTTTGCATTTAGTTCATTAACAAATATGTCAAATCATAGTGTTAGCAACAAGCTAACACATTTTTATTTTGTTTGAAAATAGTACTCATCCGGTCCTTAATATAGGACCCAATTGTTAAGTTAGTTTTGGTCCTAAATACAAGACCCATTTTTCATGTTTATCAATTTTCTCTAAATTACCCCTATGGATACTCCCCAACCACAATCAAGTGGAAGAGGAAGAAGAGATATTAAGAAAAATGGTTATGGTATTTTAGGAAAAATGTGTCACATTTCTTCTAATTAACTAACTTACCTAACTTTCTTAATCTAATCAAATTAATTAAATAGGTCTTATATTAAGGACCGGAGGAGTAGTATATTATTATTAGTAACAAAAGTCTAATGTAGCACATAGGTATTAAATTCATAGGAATATGTACAGTTATGATGTCGAGAACAATACATTATAGGATCGGATCATGTGAAATCTGTTGTATCTTCCTAATTAATGTTGATGAGTTGCCTCAATATAATATAATTATTTAGGGAGATGAGCTTGATCCACCACCTGATGGAATCAAGCTTATCTATATCAGAGTCGTTAGATTAAATTATTTCATCTATTTGTCTTGATTTTGATGGTTACAAATCAGAGTAGAATCATGTCATTTTAAAACTTTCATGAAGCAGCTCGAATACGATACATATATATTATGCAGAAGTACAAGTCAATTAAACTAAAAGATTATATTTTAGATTAGACTTCAAATTTAAAGTTAAAATATGATCACTCATTCACTCGCGAGAGGGATGAATAACATATGCATACATCTCTAAGCCATTTGTTCCATACGCACGAGTCTGTGCCCAGGGTCCAAATGATAAGGCTTTGTTGATATATAAGTACAGGTTTATGGTCTAAACCACCTTTCTTAGCGTAACTATGAGAACAAGTACAGTGAATAGCATATCATGCATGAGGATGGCAATTGTCAATGAGAATGAGCATAACTTACATATCAATGTAAATTAGTGTTCCAATGTAATACTCCCTCCTCTGGTTCTTATTTATTATTACAGGAGCGCTTTTAGGGGGGCAAAAACTCTTGATTCTTTCTTTAAGACTCTTTCATAGTTTTAATGAGTATTAAATGGTTTTTTCCCATATATGCTCATATTTAATGAGGCTAGTAAGGGAATAGAAATTAATGTAATATTAGAATTTATCAATTTAGTGTAATTAATAAGGGTAATATTAAAAATCATTTGACTTTTGTGATAAATTTAATGATTTTAACTAGTTTTATTGGTACATGTAACTTAGTTAACGTGTTCTTATAATAAAGACCAGAGTATCACAAACTACGCAACAGTCAAATTCATGTAATTGAACTCATAAACGTGTTTCACTCATTTTGATTTAGTGTACATTAACTCGTCATTTTCTAAATGGAGAGGCTAATTTTAATTTTGGTGTGATGCTAATGAATGAAGCTGGGAGATTACCAAAGAGCAATGGAATACCATGGAGGATGAACTCAGGGCTGGAAGACGGAAGCGACGTTCCGGAGCTGAAAGGAGGAATGGTTGGAGGCTACTACGACGCTGGGGACAACATCAAGTTCCACTTTCCCATGGCTTTCTCGATGACCATGCTGAGTTGGAGTGTGATTGAGTATAGTCAAAAATACCAAGCCATTAATGAATACTCTCATGCTCGAGAACTCATCAAGTGGGGTGCTGATTACCTCCTCTCAACCTTCAATTCTTCTGCCCCCAGAATCGACAGGATCGCTGCCCAGGTATTCTTTGATATCTCTTTTCCTCTCTATGTGTGTATTTTTCCCTCCTTTTTATCTTTTTCCTCCATTAAACAATAATAATTGTCTGGATTTGGATTCTTTAGGTACACTTTTAGGTGAAAATAGGCGTTTTTTGTTACGTAGTGGAAAATTTTGTTTGGAGCACTTTGATGCATACGCTAGCAGCACGACTATTCTCTTGCTAACGGGGTGTCATGTGTTAGATTCTTCTGGCCTCTTTCCGCCTCCTTCCATATGTGTGTGTGTGTGTGTGTGTATAAAGAGAGAGAGAGACAGAGAGAAGTCATATGTAGAACCACGACAACAATAACAAATCCCACAAGAAATTAGTTTCCTTTATATCCTTGATGGGGCTTAAAATTGGAAGAAAAAGTCCCACAGTACAGATGATACAAAAGCAGTAGGGGATAGGTTCCTTCAGCCAGATTACTATTCTGGATTGGATTCCTTTTTGTCAGAAATCTATCTACTTCTTCGAAATCTAATCTTTTGAATATGGAAAGGAGGCTGTATTATGCTGCGTATCATAGGATTTAGATTCATATACATCCTAACCTGGAAACATTTTCAGGTTGGTGTAGCCAAGATAAATGGAACAGAACCTGACGACCACTACTGCTGGCAGAGACCAGAAGACATGGACTATCCTCGTCCAACCCAAATGATAACCGCCGGCCCGGAACTCGCTGGCGAAATGGCGGCGGCATTAGCAGCAGCATCCATAGTGTTCCGAGACAACACTTCCTATTCTCAAACCCTCGTCAAGAACGCCGAGAAACTCTACGTCTTCGCACGAGACGCTGGCAAAAGATCCTCATACAGTAATGGGAATGAATACATCGAAAACTTTTACAACTCTACAGGCTACTTTGACGAGTACATGTGGAGTGGTACATGGTTGTTCTATGTGACAGGAAATTCTTCATATCTTACTTTGGCAACGCATCCTTCAGTGGCCAGGCATTCGAAGGCATTGTTCATGGTTCGAGATTTGATTGTTACCAGCTGGGACAACAAGTTACCTGCAGCCATGATGTTGTTGACGAGGCTAAGGATATTTCTGAATCCTGGGTATCCTTACGAGCAAATGTTGGACATGTACCACAATATCACTGGTCTTACCATGTGCTCTTATCTTCATCAGTTCAACGTCTTCAACTTTACTAAAGGTAAGAGAATCAGTTCAGTATAATGTCTTCAATTTCATATTTTTTATTGATCACTAGTCAAGCTTACCTGTCATTCTACAATCATTGCATATTAATTGAAGTAAGCCAGGTTATGTGTTAGTTAATCAAGTCATAATACAGATTTGAGCATTTAATTTGACTGTTTGGAAATGAAAAGACATCAGCCCCAGATCAGTTTTTCAGTAAATGACCCCTTTAAGCCGACTAATAAGTGGCAATATGTAATTCGTCACAAATTGAACATTTTGTTTACGAAAGGAAACTCATTTTGAAACCCTCTCTCAAATTGTCCAGGTGGTTTGTTGTGTGCGTGTGTGTATCTTCTTTATTTACTCGATCTCTACCATCTGATTATTGCAAAAGCATATATAGATCCGATAGCATACTTCGAGATGTGTCAGGCCATATGTCTATAGTTTACTCCCCTCGTTTTCTCTTTTCATAATTTCAGAGAGCAGATTTGATTAGTCTGCTATTGTTTCTTCATTAGAGTTAAGTTGGTGTGAGACGTGTTGCAGGAGGATTGATCCAGTTGAACCATGGAGAGCCACAATCTCTGCAATATGCTGCAAATGCTGCTTTCTTGGCTTCACTATTTGCAGACTACAATGACGCCGCAAGAATCCCTGGATGGTACTGTGGCTCTACCTTTTTAAGAAACATCGTTCTCAAGGATTTTGCTGCCTCTCAGGTAATTACTTATTTCCAATATTATTATTACATCTCTTATCCTTTGTATTTTCAAAACTTACGTATGTTTTTATATATAAACCACCCTCAGAAACAGGGAAAAAACTACATTGACTACTACTCTTGGTTTAATTTCTCGAGATATTTCCAACCTTTCTTTTATTTTTTTATTTTTTGAAAAATCATAACCATCCCTATAAAAAATAAAAAAATAAAAAAAAATTACACAGCCCATCCCTAAATTTTACTAAAATTAAGCGACTCTCATTTATTTTTAAGAAAATTGTATAATTTTAGAGAAGTTTGCATAATTTGTTTTTGAAGAAAATTTGTTTAATTTATTTTTGTTGTATTGGAGGTTTATATAGATTTTAAAATAGAAAGAAAGCATGCGTAATTTTAGCAAAATTGTTTTATAAAAAAGTACTCCTCCGATCCTAAATGTAAGACCCTTATACACACTAGTATAAGGGTCTTACATTTAGGACCGGAGGAGTATTAGTTTTGAAAAAGAAGTAGCTAGAGCCTAGAGATAGCATATTAATTTGTAATTATATTAGGAAACAAATTTTTCATGCTAACCATAGTGATCTTAAAAATAAGACATAGTACTTTTTTTGGGCAAAAAAAGCAAAAAACCGGCTTAGCCGAGTAGTGCGACATGCATGCTACTACATGCAATCCTAAACGTAAGTCACCTTTATATTATTAAACGCTTATTTTGAAAATCAACACGCAAAGAGAGGGAGAAACACGACTAATTATATCAGCTGTAAACTTGGGAAAACTTTTTAATCTGAAAGGAAAAGTTAATTTTAACTAATTTTTTTTATATGTACGAGGCAAATAGTCGTAATCATGTATGGCGATAACTAGATTAACTGTAATCTTATGTTTTGCAGAACTGTTCATGTCTTGTGAAATATATATATATATAGTTTTCTATGAATATTATGTGACCCACATGTACATATATACATTATGCTTGGAATTAAGACATTTATTTGAACAATAATGCAGCTTGATTACATATTGGGTAAAAATCCCATGAAGATGAGCTACGTGGTGGGATTCGGAAATAAATATCCAAAACACGTGCATCACAGAGGAGCATCCATACCACATGACCATAAGCGCTATTCATGCACAGGAGGCTGGAAGTGGCGCGACACTTCGCACGCCAATCCAAACATCATCAACGGAGCCATGGTCGGAGGACCCGATAAGTTTGATCGTTTTCATGATGTGAGGAAAAATTATAGCTACACTGAGCCTACTCTTGCAGGAAATGCTGGCCTCGTTGCTGCTTTGGCTTCCTTGACGGTAACCAACGCAACTGATAATAGCGTTGATAAGAACACTATGTTCTCCGGTGTTCCGCCCCTGGGACCGCCCAGTCCGCCTCCCCCGGCTCCTTGGAAGCCTTGAGGTTTGAAGAAGCTTGAGTTGAGCGTGGAGAGCTGCTTTTGCGTTTTCACTTTGGGCTTGAGACAATATGTTTCTACTCAATCTCTTGCATATTCTTTTTCTATGATTGAGTTATCAATGTATCATATGTATGCCAATGTAGTTTCTTTTTCTTCCTTCTCTGTAACAAGCAAAGTTTGCATCTGAGTCAAATATTTAATTTTTTTTAAAAAATAAAATTTGATTGAGTACAATTACTTGAAAAATATGACATTCGTATATGAGAAGGGAGTAATTTTATACTAAACTGGTTTACAATAGCTTTGTGCGTCTACAGCTTTAATTTTTGTGTTCTGCCGCTGCTGCTTGCTGCCACTATCATGGTAAATGTTTACTTAAGATTTCAACCCATTTTATCTCTCAAATTTACAGTATTTTTATTGAAATTATCTTTTTTCGGGCCAAATTAAAATTATCTTTAATTACGCATATTAAGGGGATGTCTATTAATTAAAAAAATTTCAGTTGCTTGTGAGTCCAGCCTCACGCTGTGCCCTCTGGATTAGGACCCACGAGGCTTAAGCTTTCGCTTAGGTCCCCCATGAGCCAACTCTCCACTTGGAGTCGGCAGGCCAGCATGATGAAACAATCAGCCAAATTAAACCTAGTGAGACCCGAGCTATAGCCCGTTATCTTCGTGCCCTCACTCGAGTTACAAGCTAGAGTTATCCAACTCGGCGATAATGCAGACGTATCATGGATTTTATGAAGATTAATTTTGTGACGGACTCTAGGCAATGTGGGATTTTCCAATAATTCCAAGTATATAGTCTATATTTAGCAGTTCCTGTAATGACTGAGATGTACTATGATGATAGAAAATATATATAGATGCATATCAAAGAGCCTGTAAATTCTTGAACCGAACCACTTGGTTTATATGCGGATCTATCTGAAGCTTTTCAAAGCACCCAAAAGCATATAAAAACGTGTGAACAAGTTCCTAAATTCATCCTGTAAACTGAGCTTTATATGTTTCAAGAACTTGAGATGATCCGCGTAATGAATAGAGAGTTTCCTTGTAGTTCTAGAAGAACGTTATAACGTACTGGTTTAAACATAGTACTGTACTATGGTATGTGTGTGTATTATACAGCATCAAAATGGTTTTCTTTTCGATTCTTCATGATGACCTGAGACTGTATTTTGTATTGAAATCGGAAAAGCTTGAACTAATCAATTTGAATATATGAGGATTGAACAGGAAATTAAAATGATCATGCAGATGAAGATTTCGTCAATAACCAAAGGGGTAAAAATGCAGATGTCGGTTTATCTGAATTTACACAAAAATCCAGCATTTTCTATAACATACGATCTATCAATTTTACTTTTTCTTTGTTTTTTTTGTTAAAAATGACATTGGAACTATGGAAGAAAATAAAAATACACCTTCATTCTGTATTTATTATTTTAGCACTTGGAGAACATAAACTTGCAAGTACGGACAGAGTGCTGCACCTAGCTTAGCCTATCCAATATCCAATTCCTCTTTGATATAAGAATTTACCACTCACAAATAGCAAATTTAACAATGACAATAAGGATAATTTAATAATCTCAATCTGTTAATGATTCAAAGGCTCTAATGATTTAGTATATATAAATACCAAACAGGGAGATAATAAATTTTTTTAATAAAAAAACCAAATAATACTGAAGAATATAAATTTGCAAATTACAAATGGTTAGTGAAGTAATTAAATGAGTTCCTAAAAATTTATTCAAAAACTTATATTATAATATATATATATATATATATCCCAAATAGAAGGCTCCAAATTGAACATACAAAATGACTAAGAATATTTTGGTAGCCATTATTTAGTATGCATACGGTATCAAAATAAATATTGAATTAACAAGCTACATGACATATTAATTAATATGGAGCTAACATTAAGAAATCTAAATCTAGTGAATTAAAACAAAATTTTTTTTTTGACTTAGGCACATGCATGCATTAAAAAAAACAGAAAGGGGTGAGGTACACTCAGTATCTTAAAATATTTTCGTATGTGCACTCGATGTTCTAAATTTTTTTGTGTTTCAATTTCACCCACAAAGTATTTAAAGTGCTGCGCCCACATCCAATTATAACAATTTGAGAAAGCTAAAATAATCCTAGTTGGCTATACACATAAGCTGATGAAGTGGCTTTTGTTTTTAATGAAAATTTCTTTTATTTGTTTTATTTTGTCTCCAAAGCTAATTTTATATCGATAGGGCAATTAACAATCCTAGGGCTTGTTTTGTCTTCTTCTCCATGGTGGCCAATGAAGTTCACTGGTTTTAGGCAAAAAGCATCCTTTGTCCTCGGCTACTTTACTACGTCAGCTAACCATTATAGTTTGAGCACCATTCCCCTTTACTTATTATTTTATTCCATCTGTTTGTGTCTCTTTCCGCATTCGGATGTTTGATAGGTGAATCAAACTTATATTTAGTAGTGATAAGTAGAAGAAGGATTACTTTGGGAAGGCATGTTAGAGTCAAGATAGAGTATGAAGGGCGTAGTAGGTTCTCATAGACCATATTTTTTAGGTTTTCAAAATTAATCTCCTGAAATTTTGGTGGCGGGATGTTGTTATTCGGGCATGACAGTTTGGCAACTTGCATGAACACCAACCTTCCTGTAAAGGGGGAAAAAAAGGAGTCGCCATAATTATATGAGGCTAATATTAGCATCCTAAAAAATGTGGTCTATGAGGATCGAATGAGGTTCAAGAGTCAATTATGTGTAGAAAAGGTGTTAGAGATCCCACAGCACCTGTTCATTGGAACAATTATCCTAAGTTGACTATAAAAATAACATGGCCTTGAATTATATTATAATCAATATACCATATCAATCTCTTCCAGTTAAGCCTTGTGTTAGTGTCAGCTCATTGAGAGCTTTAGACACAAATTACTGTTGACAAGGATCATGTTGCTTGGATTAAATTGTATCGGGCTTTCTTCAAGCCGATATTATCAATCGGCTTATGTTGGGCTTTATGCACAGTTGTGAGAGACGAATATTAATAGATATTATCGATTAATCACTTGTTTTTAATCAAAATTACTCTTTTTTGTTTTATTTTGTCGCCGAAGCTAATATTATATTGATAAGGCAATTCACAATCCTAGGGCTCGTTTGTCATCTTCTACATGGTCGCCAATGAAGTTCACTAGTCTTGGGCAAAGAGCATCCTTTATCCTTGGCTTCCTAACTATATCAGCTAATCCATTAAAGTTTGAGCACCATTTCCCTTTACTCATTGTTTTATCCCATATGATCATATCACCTTCTGCATTTGGATGATTGATGGGTGAATCAAACTCAAATTTAGTAGTGATAAGTAGAAGTACTACTTGGCAAGTTACAATTGAGATGGAGTATGAAGGCCGTAGTAGGTTCTCGTAGAACATGGTTTTTAGGTTTTCAAAATTAACATCCTAAAATTTTAGTGGCGACTCCTTTTTTCCCCTTTTATGAGTTCATTATTCAGGTATGGTAGTTTGGCAACTTGCCTGAATCTAGACCTTCCCATAATGGAAAAAAAGAAGTCGCCATCAAAATTATAGGAGGCTAATTTTGAAAATCTAAAAAGTATGGTCTATGAGAATTGATAAGGTTCAGGAATTAATCATATGTGGAGAAGGTATTGGCACCTCGTAGCACCGTTCATTAGAATAGTTGCCCTAAGTTGACTACAAAAATAATATGGCCTTGAATTATATTATAATCAATACATCATATCAATCTCTTCCAATTAAGCCCCATGTTAGTGTCGGCTCATTAATAGCTCTAGACACAAATTATTGTTCACAAGGATCACATGGCTTGGATCAAATTGCATCGGGCTTTATTCAAATCGATATTATCAAATTGCATTAGAGGCCTAACCACTTGGGTCGAGTAGAGGGGCTCCTAAAAGGATAGGCATTAAAGAGTCCTTTGGCCCTGCTTCATGAGGCACCAGGGCATCCTCTGCATGTATTGTATCTAAAGAGGAGCTTGACTAATGATTAAAAGAAGAAATGGAGAATTTTTGAGCTCAGCTTAGTAAAGAGCATAAAGTGAGATGTAAAATATGCTTGACGAGTGGAATGCCAAGTTTGAACAAGCTATGATGATAATAGGCATAACCAGCTTCCAAATACCTCAGATGTCTAAACCATCACAGCTATTAATCACTTCTTCTCAAGGTTCATTTAATTTGTTTAAGTTTATTTAATTTGTTTTGAACAATTTCTTTCAATATTTCTTAGTTCACCTATGGTGAAGAGGGGGAAGGGCAATAATAATCAAACACAATAGCTGCAATCATCTAACCCTAACCCTAAACTTGACCTGACTCGAGACAATGGACAACCATGTGTTATCTATGTGGACACTGATAACCCAACATCTTATTACTGATGGTCAAGCATACACGGGCTTAACAATCTGTGACAAAAGATTTTCAAAGGACTAACTGAGGGTAACAGTAGATAAAGTCTATAATGGTCAGGGTGGTATATTGTTGTCCAACCCTACTAACGAGGTTTGAATACTAGCCCAAGCTAAAAGAAATTTCATTCTGTGGCTGAGAAAACTTATAAAAAAAACAAGCAACAACAAAGGTAACGGTACATAAGCTGACAACAAAGAAGGCACCATAGGTAGCTCTCACACTTAAGCCCCTTGATGCAGATGTTGCCTTGAGATTCAAAAATTTGGCATTGCTTTATTCTGTGGTGTAAGAAATGGAGTAGCTATAACATCTCTCTTTTTTTTTTTATTCCTAAGATTTAAATATTTGGAAATTGAAAAAAAAGGGGCTCCAAACTATTATTTCTCCATTTTAAGTAGGGTCTTTAACTTCAGTTTATCCCAAGGGTTTTCTTTTTACTATCGCCCCCCGTCATTTTCTTTTCTTCTCCCTCTCTCTTCGTATTCGCAGCGTCACTCTCTTTCCCATTTCTTTCTGCATCGTTATAGATCACTTTCATAAGTAAAACTACTCTTAATTACAAAACTTCCTTCATGAAAGTTGTTCTACTTAGTTAGATCTATCTAATTATAGTAATTTTGTGTTGTTTAGAAAAAATTTTTGGATCTAGAGTTTAGAGCATGTTTTGAGTTTTGATGAGTGTTAACCACAATATTGTAGATATATTATAGTAGATCATTTTTATTGGTTTATATTTGCCCATTTGTTGGTTTTAATATTTAAAAATT